ATAATTAAGTTTGTCAGTTTCATCACCATGCTCGTAGTTTTCGATTTGATTAACATTAAAATATTTTTCAAGTATAGTTAAGAAGAGAAACTTGAATTGAAGAAAAAGAGTTGACCATTGCCGGATATTACTATAGATACAAGTGGAGCTAGTAGAAGAAAATCGTAAAGCCAAGAAATTTATAACAAAAATAAGTGGATTTGTGGTTGCAATAAGAAAAATGCTTTATTTTGTTTTTCTTGTCTACTATTTAGCGGCGATAAAGCATGGACGGAGGTAGGGGTAACTGATTTGGTGCATCTAAGTGAAAATAAAAAAATAAAAAGGCATGAAAACTTAAAAAACCATCTTCACAATACCATGGAATTAGCTTTACTTGGGACAGTTGATATCAGATCTCAATTAAGTGCCGCTTACTGGAAGAATTTACAACATAACGAGAATGTGACAAAAAATAGGTATGTCCTATCAAAAATGATAAACTGCCTTAAATTTTGCGGAGCATTTGAATTGGTACTACGAGGTCATGACGAATCTGATTCGTCGCAAAATCCTGGCATATTTCGAGGGTTGATCAATTTTGCGGCTGAACTTGATTCAACTTTAGGTGAACATATGCAAAAAGCATCTGCTTTCAAAGGTCATCATCGAGTCAAAAGAAATCCAAAATGAATTATTGGATTGCATACTTGAGGTTTGCCATGAAGAAATAACCAAAGAAATGAAAAAAGCTGTGGCTGTTATTACTGATGAAGCGACGGATGTGTCTGCAAAAACTCAACTCAGGGTCATTTGAAGATATACACGCGATGATGGAGAACCAGTTGAACGTTTTTGGACATATCTAAATGCTGAAAAATGCAATGCTGAAACTTTATCTGAAACTATTTTAAGTATTATAGACCCATTATTTGGAAATTCTCCTAATAAGTTAATGGAGCAGCAGTTATGAGTGGACAACACGCAGAAGTTCAAGCAAAAATTAAACAAAAATATCCCTTTGCCCATTTTGAACACTGTTATGCCCATCAATTAAGTTCAATTTTCTCCAAAGCAGCTTCTGCAAACGCTCAACCATGTGTCTTTTTTGGAAAGTTGCAAGATATTTCTGGATTTTTCAGTAATCCTCCGCAACGTGTAGAAGTACTAAATAAAATTGTATACTAAAATAAAATACCTCATGGAGTTGCAACTCGTAGGAATTTTAACATTCGTACAATTAATGTTGTTGATTAATGTATTTGAACACAGAGAGTCACTGATTGAGTGTATGGAAGTAATAGAGGAAAATTTTACTCAAGCAACCGCCTGCAGTGCCGCTGACTCAATTGAACGTACTTTACAAGACCCAGGTCTCGTTTTTTGGCTTACATTTTTCCACCACATGATGCCACATGTAAATATTTTATTCAATCAATTGCAGAAGAGGAAAACAGATCCGACACAGGTCATGCATGCCATTGATAATTTTGAACAGAGAATTGTTCATATCCGAAATACAATGGACGATATTGTAAACGAAGTTTCAAATATATGCACTGAACCACCACCAATTAAACAAAAACGTTTCGGAAATAGCAAATTCGATAACCGTGTTGCAGCATTAGAAGTGTTTGACATAATTACAATTTCCATCAAAGATAGATTTATTTGCAAAGATCATCTTGCATCTCTTTTTTTTTCTAAACAGTTTGGAGAGTATTGTGGCAAGTTTCCTGAAGACAAGTTGACTACCATCTGTTCAACTTATCTACATATTGAAAAAAACGACTCCGCACGAAACTGTGGGTTATTTATTCCAGAAGCGACTGTAGGGAAAGAAATGGCGCGTTACCCATCCTAAAATTTTTGATAAAAAATAATTTAGATGAAACAATGAGCGAAAAAAAAATGCGAGAAATAGTTGTAACAACTCCAATAACCACAGCAGAGGCCGAGTGTTGCTTTTCAACCTTAAAACGGATTAAGACCTTCCTTCGCAACTCTATGACCGAAGATCGCTTATCAGCTCTATCCATGATTTCTATCGAAAAGACCCCTGTCCGTGTGACGTTTATTTCTGAAATCGACAAATTTAATAAGATGGTCATCGACAAATTTGCAACTAGAAAGGATCGAAGAATTGAACTGTTCGGCGTCATTCCTTTTAAGGGGTGATGGAGACTCACTTGGGGAGTACAAGAAAAATATTGAAATTTTTTTTTTCGAAAATTTCTAGAAGACTTATTAACAGTTGAAGATCGAATTTCAACTTTGTTCTTAAGCATTATTTTGAAATGGTTCCATGTTTAATTGGTAGCATATTGGAATAAAAAAAAAATTGTGATCTTTGCTTCAAATTACAAAAATTTTTGATATCAAAAAAGTTATCTTCTACAATTTTTGGGGGAAAAGGCACAGCGGCAATGAATGATGTTTTTGTCATTAACAGATAGTTACAGGTTGACAGCCCTTGTCAATAAAAACAATAATTTGTCAAACTGTGACTTACTTTTCCATTTAACCATTCAATGGTCAAAAACCCTAAAGATGTTGCAGGGTTTATTTATAAACACCCGTATTCGAGGTTATGAGAGCAGGTTGACATTTCGTCAACATGTCGTTACTGTCAGTCTGTATAATTCCATGGTTACCGGAGTTTTAATAATTACGAAGCCACAGGTATTTGCGCAATGTTAATTAGGCAGATTACCTTGCTGCCGTATTTCTGACATAGTTTTTTGCAAATTTCTCAGTTTTTAATAACAATTAATTTATTTTACTATTTTTTCTGTACTCCTATAACAACGCCAGACATCACCTCCAGAGAAATGACGCCAATTTTGAATCACCCTGTATATAAAATAGATTAATTTAGACTTTACTGTTACATAATATTGAAAAAATATATTTGATATTCGAAAACGATTTGACATTTCAGTGAACTTCTTTTGCAGAACACCCGCTACATCAGTCCACGAGCCGCTATTGGCCAGTAGTACTATTGTATCGCCTTAAAAAGTCGACTGCCACCGCCATGATTAAGATTACTTTCGTCACGCGGTAGGTGACATACTTGTTAATGAGTTTCCGATTCACATCGTTTTCATTAGAACAAGGAGCCAATTGCCCACCTTGTAACTAGTCACTGTCGCCTTACGCCTACACCTACGATCGTATTGAGCTTTTATAGCTCCACTCGCCTGTCAGGTTTTCAGTCGCCTGTGAAGTAACACCTTTATAACGCCGAGAGATTCGGGACCGAGAGGCTAACGCCTTCTCCTTTCTCTACATTAGAGGGGATATTCTTGATTGTGAGGTAGAAAAGGAGTAGAGTGGCTCTAATCCAGGAGAGCACAGCAATAATGACGGATAATGCATCTAATATGATTAAGGCATGTGAATTACTGGAAATTAATACCCCGGCACCCCAAGCAACCAAAAAAATGTCTAGTAAGTAAGTACTTACTGTAAATCATTAATAACATTAAATCGCTTTGTTGTTAGGCAGCAGGTATTCCGAATTAATAGAAACACTGGCAATCGTTCCATCCTTTGAAGAATTGGAAATAATTTAGAAAAACAAGCAACATCAGATTTCATCAAACTTTTTGCAAAGACGCCGAGTAAGAAAAACATATTGGCTCAGAGAGGACTGTTTTCAACACGAAAATCATAAAAAAAAACAAAGTAAGATTGTCCAAGCCATCGAATCCTGATAAACAAAATTGAGTTTTAGTATGTTAGTTATTAAGAATTTTGTATTGTAGTTCAGACAGTCCTAAGTCCTGTTATAATAAAACCTGTTCAATAATGTGTTGTTCGGAATTCTTAATCACACAAAACGCATTTCAGCTGTTTTTCATCAAAATTTCATATTTTACACCTACCTACTTACACCTACCTGTACTCTTCCTATTTGTTAGAGTTTTTAAGCTTCAAACCGTTGAGACGTTTGCATTCTATCCACATGCAAATGCAGCTTAACAACTGACTCTCTATCTGAATTATAAAATCTCTATCATAGAGGAAGAAACATATTGTACCGTGGATGGCCGAGTATTAAATTCTTTCTTCTGGTTACAACTTTTATTCCACTCGGTACAACTTTAACTACGGAACAGGAACAAACTAACTTCTAAATTAATGTCAACTTCACAAACGATAACAATAACACACGGAAAACACGGATTTCCGACTCGCGGGTTTAACTTCTTCTGCACTTGGTCGCTCCTGTCACTTCACTTCCCCCCGTCTGGTTCTCGTCGTCGCTTATATCCTTTTCTCCAGAACAGGTGCGAAACTTCCCGCTTGTCAGTGTCATATTTGACAGTAAATGGGGCTCCCATTTACTGAAACACCATGAATTTCGATCCCCCATTCCAAACGTGAGTACCCCAGGCCATTTCCGTTACAATATATTAATTTCTCCACGATCCCTATTATTGAAAATTCAAACGACCACGTCCAGACAAACAGCTGACGGTGCGCACGACTTTTGGATCGCAAGAATATTGGTGTACCCAGACGCTTGTCCCCGAGAATTCAAGCCCCGACTGCTCTGCCGTCACGTACAGCAATTACGAGGCCAACGAGGAAGACGGGCCAGGGCGCTCGAGTATCACGTGATAAACTTAGTCCGACTAGCTGGTATAGTTTGGTGAGGTTGCCGTAGGCCCTGGGCACTCTCATATAAAAATTTTATTTCATAGCCGCCAGAGGCCATCCAGACGAAGAAAGGTACAAATTAAATCATAAAATAACCAACTGTTGGAAAATATTCTGTTGATGAAAGCGATAACGCAAGTCAAATAAATCTTCCCCATTGTTGTTTGTGGTTTTGGCAACAAGACATTAGCCAAACCCGGTCACAGGGCTTCGCAGTGTTGTCATTTCATTTCTGTTTGTGAGTTTCAGCTGATTCTTGGATTGCCAGTTAACAGGTTATTATTACTTATTGGCATGTTATAAATACATCGTATAAAATACCAGTTTTTATAATGTATCGTTTGCTAAATTGGGAGTTTTTCAACAAGAAAACAAAATGGAAATGGCTGCTCCAGTTACATTGACGATTGAAGAACAGATGGATAAAACTATTTGCAAAGTTTGTTCAACAACATTTTCTAAGTTTTCCAATTTAGCAACTCATATAAAAAGAAAGCACCCAGGTAAACTTTTGGCATGTTGATATCTAATATTGTATCTAATGTGCACGTATCTATTCTAGAACAAATTGACATAGCTCCAAAGAAAGCAAGAACTGGGTCATATGTATGCGAAGAATGTGGAGAAAGATTTATTTGTTGGTTAAAATAGTAACTATTGTAATTTTTTTAACAATTCATCGAAGTTTTGACAATAGAAAATTGTCCATGATCATATTTATTTGTAAGTAACATTAGAGATATTACACCTAAAAAATCAAATGTGCTTTGTGTGATAATTTAAGTGCTAACAAAGCAGATATTATGCTCCATTACAACAGACATCATGACATCGCTGTGCATAATGAATATTTAGAGTTTGATTCACTGCATGAATTCCACCTTTGGAAAGGAAAGATTGAGAAACGAACCTTATCGTCTTTTGTGAATAAGCATGACATTAAAAAAGCAGCAAATTCTAACAAAATTAAATACGAATGTCATCGTTCAGGGAAGTTTAAAACCGAAGGCAAGAATATTCGGTTTCTGAAGCATCAAGGCAGCAATAAAACAAATGGTTTCTGTCCAGCTGAAATGGAAAAGTGGTGTTTGGAGAAACCAAATGTTCAGTTCAGTTTTGTAAGACACATGTTAGACATCAACAAGACAGAGACCTAGAACATCTTTTTCTTTCAAAAACCGATAGAGAAAAAAAACTGACAGGATTTCTGCACAAATACCATTCCAAAGTATTCAGGATACAATTAGATTAGACTTGAACAAATTCACCTTTTACAGAAACAGGACTTATATAATATTCAGAAGTCATTCAACGTAAATAACTCTGGCATGTGACATAAAAATTATGCCATTAGTGTTGATGCCTGGGTGAAAGAATCTGAGTCAGTTTTATATTAAAAGTCACAGGACAGTTCTTCTGAATATGCTGGTGTGAGAGATGAAAATTTTATCTTAATTACCATGACTCCTGGACAAAAAGAGCTTTCTGAGGTACATTCTAAAATATGTATATGAATATATTCGTTTTAATTGTTCTAAATATTCAAAGGTTTGGCAATGACTGTGTTTGTATGGATGGCACTCATGGCCTCAATGGATATGATTTTGAGCTACATACTTTACTAGTTCTTCATGAGCTGCGAGAAGGCTATCCAGGAGCCTTCCTCATTTCAAATAAATGTGATGGAGCCGTAATGAAATGTTTTACTCAGGCAATTGGACAGCTTAAACATTTATGTCTGATATGGCAGAGGCTTATTATACGGCTTGGATCAACATCATGCAACAACCAGAATTCCGGTAAGCTAATAAATAATTCCAAATAGTTGTTTTCTTTCGCTACAATCTGCAGATATGTTTTTGTACTGTCTTTATCTTATAGAATTGGCTGTATTAATATTTGTATTCCACAAAAATTTCAATCTTTTGTGGCGCAGATCCCCCTCCATTCGCTCGAGTTGCGAGCGTAGGGCATTTCCGGAATCTCTCAGCCGGAGTGGGAATCGCGACCCTGTCCCTGCATTTTGGGCGATTGTATGGTAGACGCGCACAAAAAAAACCCAGGTCCAACACAACGAACAAAATTTACTGGAAAAACGTGGGGGTTTCCCACGTGACGGGATGCCAGGTACTTCTTGTAAGTAGTACCCCCCTGTTTGAGGGCGATTCTGCGCGAAATGTTAACCACCAAAAACAAAAAAAACAACAACAAACAAACAGAACAGAAACCAACTACAATTAAGAAAAAAAAACTAAAATTACGGGAGTCTATGGCTCGGGCACCTGTGGCGCGCACAAATGTCCAGCGTACCGCGGCCGGCAAATAGTCTTGTCTCTGGGCACGCACAATAGTTCCGCGGTAGGTTCACCGGTTTTCCTGAGGATCAAGGAGCAGGAATGCTCCGAAAAAAACTGGATTTCCATGAAATCCAGCACTCGGTCACAAAAAGAAAATGGTGTGGCGTGGCGTCGGTAGCCTTCTTTTTTTAGTACCCCCGGACTGCCTCCGTACGCGTTTGTGCACTTCGCAAATATCTCGGAAACAGAGGCTTGTTGGGACATCAACTAAAAATACGTTTTTTGTACAAAATTAATAGGCGATTAGACCCAACCAGCTTAGAAGTCAAAATACCGGGTGACCAAAAAGTCAAAACAATTTTTTTGCCCAGATATTGCCCTAAGTGGTTTTTTCTACAAGTTGATCAAAATCTGATGATAGATTTGGATTTCTTATGCTCAAACACCCCTGTATACCAAATTTCGTTAAAATATGCAGCTGAGTTCAAAGTAGAATAACGAAAAACTGAAATTAAAATGTAACTTTGACGCCCTGTATGTCGGCAACCGACAACTTTCGGACTAAGGTAAGTTGTGTTAAATCATCATATTTTCACCCCAGAAATCCACCATTTAGTTTTGTGCCATTACTTTTGGGACACCCTGTATAACAATGTATTTTATACAGATTATTTTTTGGTCACGTTTTTACTTTTTTATTTAACTAACTGTTGTAACCGAGTTTCTTTATAAAATGACTCTCATCTATATACTTTTCTCTATTGTAGGATTTTTATTTATCCATTAACATAAAAGGGATTGTTAGCGCCACAAATTTGTATCTATGCAACCAGCCATGCCCTTCTTCGCCTTTTTCTCGCTCTAGACGCTTGACCATTCAATGCTTTCGAAAAGGGGAAAGGTACCTGCATTTTTTAGAGTGTCTGTCTAACCGTAAAAGTTGCTTTTGCTTCCATACTGGAACAGTGCTTTTACACAAAAACCTTTAGTCATTTATACATATTTAAAGCAAACCGCAGTATTTCTCTACTACTTAACATACAGTCCACTTCTTCAAGCGTATTTCCACCCCAGAAAAACGTTTTTCTGCGTCTAGAATGGTGAATACGCACAACAGGGATGAAGAAGTTGATGCAATTGTGCAAGCAGTCAGTACCACTAAAAAGAAAGCAAAATTGGAAGAGGATAAGAAAGACTTCCTCCTAACCCTAACAACATATGTCAATCAATGCTGAAATCGAGAAGAATTGGTTATATTAAAAAAACTTACTGCACCATTTCCCCCTACACTACAAGCTGTGCGACCAAATCCAGAATCTAGCTCTTTATTGCCATCTGCTATAAACATCTCTCGCCAAAAACTTTTTCGTAGATTTAAAAATTTTACTGAGTTGGAGCTTAGTGGAGATAAAGTATTTTGCAAAGCTTGTGGGAAAATTGTAAATATCTATAATTTTATAATCGCTACTGGTTTATTTTTCAAAACATAAATTTGAAGTATAATAATCATTTTGGAATCCACCCATTTTACAACCGGAAACCGATCAGAAGCGACTCGTGCTTACAATACCGATTAATAATTTAAATTTCAATTGCAATATTTGGTTTCAATTAATGAACATTGAATCATTACCGCAACTATGTACTTATTTTAGATTTCCTAAGGACCAGGCCAGGCGAAAAATATGGTTTGGGTTCTTGAATTTTGATGAGAGCACATTTTTGAAATCCAAAGCCGTGTGTTCTGAACATTTTGATCTAAGCAATATAACATTGCGAAGCAATGGCATAAAATACCTCACGCCAGGGACACTTCCAAAGTTGTATCAAGCAGATTTGTTTCAGGAACGCCAGTCAAGGTAATCAACTAAACTTTGTAGCACTACTTACCTTAAATATATTATCGAATTAAATGTAAAATTAATTCCAAGTTGTAGGTATTGTTGCATATAAACTAGATTTATGTAATTAGTAAAAATTTTGTAATGGTGGCTAATAAGAAATATTTATTGTTCTAGCTCGGAATCAAGACTAAATTTCAGTTCTGAAGATATTGTCACAACCCAGTGAGTGTCAACACATTAATATGATTATTTCTTTATACATTTCTATATACAGTGTGTGTCAGCCAAATCAAATATATAACGTCTTTCTTATCTAAATTTAAAAAAAAATTATTCTTACATATATAAATATATGCATACATTTTTCGAACATCTCTAGATTTCTTCATTATCCAACCTATTCAATTTTGCTAATACACATTGTATATTTACCAATTATATTTAATGCTTGTAAAAACTAATATTTATGTAGTGTACATGAAGTAGCTAGTACTCCTTCTGAAGTCAAGCAGGATTAATTTGTATCGGACACTAGGTCTTCAACTACTCTCACCGCCTCAGAAACTGAATTAAGTTTTACTGAAAACGTTCCTAGAGAAGCGTCATTCGTAGTACATCCAACAAAACGGTAAACTTCAATCACTTCCTAATTTTTTTAATTTAAATTACTAAAGGAGCTTTCATAAAGTTTAAATTTGTGTAGGTTACTTTAGTTCTTGAGTACTTTCTAGACAGATTCGTTACGTTGGAGATTTGGACGCCCGAAGGTTTGCCACGCCAAGGAGAAGGCGAAAAAACCTAAACATGGTTAAGACGACGCTTGCGAAATCTAGCACGCAAGTCCGACTTTTGGGGAATAATTTAAAATATTGCAAAAGGCGAATGAAGACGCTAGAGAACCTATTCCAACACTTAAAGAGAAACTCTTACATATCTGAAGGGTCTGAAGATCATATCAAGGTTTATTATTGGTATAAGGGTATTGTATTACAATATTTCCTCTGAAATTATGTTTTTTATTTCTTTTCAGGCGTCCCTACCTGTACCGGCAAAAGAATTGTTGGAAAGAATGATTTGCAAAAAAAACGTGAAGTATACGGAATCTTTAAGATCGTTTGCATTAACCTTGTCTTTTTACTCGCCGCGAGCTTATGAATTTTTGCGACATTTAATAACTTATTAACACATTTAAAAACTATAAGCAAATGGTATCGCTCAGTTAATGGTTCGCCAGGATTTACGAGAGAAGCACTTGCAGCGATAAAAATTAAAACCAAAAACAGTAATAAACTTTTGTTATGCAATTTAGTAATGGACGAAATGTCAATCAGGAAGCAAGTTACATGGACAGGAACAAAATTTACAGGGTATGTTGATATTGGAGCAAACATAGATTCCGACACGTTGCCAGAGGCAAGGGAGGCAATTGCCTTTATGCTGGTTTGTTTAAACGAACGATGGAAAATTCCAATCGGATGTTTTTTAATAGATGGCTTATCCGGAGCTGAAAAGGTTAAACTTGTAAAAAAATCTTTACACTTTATTAGTGACAGCGGCGTCGTAGTTACGTCGTTAACGTTTGATGGTGCATCATCAAATTTTGCATTGGGGTGCAGACTTTACGGATCCGAATAATTTAAAAACAAGCTTTAAAAACACCCCGTAACCAATTCAGATGTCTACATTTTTCTCGACCCCAGCCACATGGTAAAATTAATTAGGAATTGTTTTGCTTCACAAAAAATATTAAACCGTCAAGAGTTCATTACATGGGATTTTATTCAGGGACTAGTCGAAATACAAAATTTAGAGGAATTGCACGCTGCTACAAAATTGAGGATTAGGCATTTGAATTGGACACGCGAAAAAATGAAGGTACGATTGGCAACCCAAACCCTCAGTAAGAGTGTGTCTGATGTTTTGCTTCTTTTATCAGAAGATTTAAAGCACCGAAAATTTAAAGATGCTAAAGCTACAGCAAATTTTGTAAAAATATTCAATAATATTTTCGATATTTTCAATTCTAGAAGTTTGCTGAGCAAATATTGCTATAAAAAAGCCTTATCACTTAAAACTAAGCAAGCATTTTCCCAATATTTTGACGAAGTTAAGCTATATATTAAAAAACTCTCAATTAACAGCACTCCAGTTCTAAGTTCTCTTAGAAAAGTAAGTTTTCTAGGCTTTTTAATATGCATGGAAAGCTTAAGAAAGATGTATAATATGTGTTAAAGAGAAGCGTATTTTAAAAATTATACTGACACACAAGTTATCGCAGGATCACTTGGAATTATTTTTTTCGGGGCGGGCTTTAACAATCCGACGGCTAGGCAATTTGAAGCAGCATATAAGCGAATACTTATTAATTCAGAAATCAGTGCAGGAAACCAAGGAAATGCCATTACTTTAGAAAATATATCAATTTTGACATCATCCGCAACTTCATTGGTCCAATACGAAAATTTTGAAAGTTTAGAAAAAGGAGGAGTTTAATCAATTACAGTTATCGATCAGAGATGAAATAACTACAAATGTAATATTGATTAAGTCAAGTGCCTAGAACTTGACTGATTATACTGAAGATGTAGTGACATATATATCAGGATATGTTGTTAAAAATTTAAAAAAATGCATAACATGTTTAAGATGTCAGGAACTAATGGTCAGTGACAGTAGTTCTTCAATGCTTCAGATCAGGAAATCTTTTGGATCTTTGATAAAAGCATCAACATTGTTAGCGGACATTTGTAAGAAAATAAGTTTTTTTTTTATTTTTAATAAAACGAGAGCATCAGTGTTTATCATGTGTTTGGGTATCGGCTCTACACACTCCCCACTCTTTCCCGTCTTCCGTCCCATGCCCACATCTTTAAACGGTGGGGCAAAATATATGTTGTCAGAATATATTCGGTCGTTTATGAATGAATCGCTCTTTCTATACTTAGTTAATCTATGGTACAGACAAACTAAGACACATCACTTTACACAACGAAAACATCGCCTGGGCTAAAACAGCAAAATACTTACGTATCCTACTCGACAAAAAACTAACATTCACTGAACATATCAAAGACAAAATTACTAAATCAAGAGCACCACGTGCAGCCCTCCACCCCATACTTAATCGCAACAGTAAACTTACCATCAAAAATAAGCTCCTATACAAACAAATTATTCGCCCACAGCTTCTTTACGGTGCCTCAGCATTTATTACGACCTGCAAAACTAACATAACTAAAATACAAACTATACAAAACAAAATCATTTGATCCATCTGCAGAGCTAACTGGTACATACGTAACAAGGACATACTCAAAGACTTGAAAATAGACACTATCCAGGAATTGCTGACTAAAAAACACTCCAAATCCAAAGTCCTCAATTATGCAAACCCAGTAATTCAAAACACCCCGCCGCAAAATAACCAGGGCCAAAAATCCATCATAGCTCCCCTTAACTGGGAATAGCAAAAGTTCCGACAAACTAGCTCTAGCGAAAATATCCACAACAACAGACAATGAGACTTCTAGCCCGAAACCCGACCTGAACAGATAGTCTGCCCCTAAAACCGAAAACCTGACCGTAATTAATTTAACCCACCTGCATCGATTTCCTTTTGATTTTCATTTCCGCCAGTATTTATTTCCATCCGCATTTATTTGCACCTGCATTCAGCTGCATCTACTTTCTCTGACACGTGTATCAAACTTTTGCCTGCATTTATTTTCACCCGCATTTGTTTTCACCTGCATTCCGCTCCAATTGCATATCGAGCTTCCATCAGCTCTGAATCACTTTCTACGCCGAGTTTCATCTGTGTTGATTGTCTATGGCATTCCGTTGATTAACTATGGAGAAGAAAACCGAGAAGCAAAGCAACCTCAACCGACTCTCAGTACCGCAACTGAATCCCTAACCATAGAAACCGCAAATCAGCCAATCACCTCTCCAATCTTGAGTAGTAGTGGCGCTTTTGATCCAACTGATGTCCGTGTGAGTTGGGTATATTTACTCAAAAAAGAGGAACTAATCACCGAGCTACGCAAATTTAATTTGGACACTGCTGGCACTGCCAACGGTAGGAAAGGCTACCCCAGCGTCAACGACCATACCAGGTGTTGTGTTTCCAGCACCTGGACCACGAACTTCTACGACCGCCTTTTTCCACGTTTGCTGTTTCACTTCAGACAGTTACCACGGCTTTGCCCACCATCGCTATTCTCTCTTTGTCGAGAAAGAGATATGCACAGCTCAGGGCATCCAAATAGACCGGTTGTTACCGCACATGCCAGAGTCTTTTCCGTCAATTATGCTGCCGACTTGGAGATGGAAATTAGCCGACGACTGCAGAGGCTAAATGAACCGGCCTCTCGTTATATCACCGACCTCAAAACTCCCATCCGAAGACATGGTACCATGACACAAGAGCAAGAACTGCAATGGCTATACCGAAATCTGAGGCCAGAGAAACGCCAACATATCCGCAAAAGCGGCAATACCGTCGTCATATCCTTCTGCCGGACGGTCCTCGAAGTCAAATTGTTATTGTCCGAACTACAGGCCAGCTCGACCAGACACCAAGATTCTTATCGACCCACCCCCCATAACCATCCCGTCAACAAGCCCGACACTCGCCCCCGGCACGAACCACCCCTAGCACCGGCAATAAGGCCACCTGGAACCGGAAAGTGTGCTACAATTGCGGGGAAAACGGGCACTCCAGAAAAGATTGTCGAGGCCCTTCAAGGCTGTTTTGTTCCCGATGCGGACGACGGGACGTTATGTCTAAAGACTGTCCCGGCCCCGAGCCACGATCGGGAAACTGAACCGGTGCTTTGTTAGTCCGAGGTCTTGCCAGCACGTGGCCCAAATCCGAACTTGGGACGAGTACCAGATGATAGGCCCCACGCACGCATCTACATTGGCGGATACCCGTTTTTAGCCCTGGTAGATACTGGCGCCGCAAACACTTACATAGGAACAGGCGCGCAGAAATTTGCCGGTTTCCTTATCCCTTTGTCACACCCATTGTCCGAAGCGAAAAAGTCGCCAATGGTGGCGTGACTACCATATCCAAAGCTTACCAGATTCCACTAATGCTGGAAAACAGGACGTTGATGGAGAAAATAAATTATTTTCCGCAATTAACATCCGATCGGATATTACATATATCGTCGGTATAGATATTCTTACCCGAAACCGGTTTCGTCTAGAGCTGGGCACAGGAGACACTTTCCTGGATAACCAGCTTATATCACCGCCCACGCCATGTAGCCCGATTGGACCGATGACGGACGGTAAACTCAGTCTAACCCTAACAAAAACGGAAGAGCTTCGCTTGAAACAATTCCTGGACCTGGCAAAACATCACATGAATTTGTTGAAATCAGAACCAATCAAACAGCGACACCGACCACAGAATCCCCGAATGCAAGAGATCATAAACGCAGAGGTCAAGACGATGTTAGCGGAAGGAATTATAGAACCATTCGCCAGTGCCTGGAGTTCAACGGTAGTCATTGTCCGCAAGAAAGATGGGGATCACCGCTTTTACCGTCCCGGGAATGGGACTTTACCAATTTCGCGTCATGCCATTTGGGTTACACTCCGCTCCAGCCACTTTCCAAAGATTAATGGATCGTACAATTGGACCCGAAAATTCGAAAAAAATACCTTTTATAACAATTTTTATTATCATAGAATACCTTTTCTTTGTTGTAAATTTAAATAGGGCCTCTTGATATTATTATACTAGGTATTTTATTTCTTCAGGTATACGATCGTCAACAAAAATACAAGTTTGTCAGAAGTTTATTATAGCTGTGTACAACGTTTCTCATGGGAGACTTAATACAATTTGCAAGAGAGTCCAGGATGGGGAAGAAGTTATAAAACAAAAAAGAGGAGGCGACAGACGACCTTTAAAGTTTGCAGAAAAATTGGATGCTGTGAGGTCTTTTAATAGTCAACTACAAGGAAAAGAGTGTCACTATGGAAGGCAAGTCTTGAAGGATTAATTTATCTTCGGAGTACATTTCCATACCTTGCAAGTTATATAACAAAGATGCACCAAACAGCCTAAAAATGAATTACAAGTACTTCAGCCCGGTAAATACCCTTCAGGGTTTGCACACGACCGCCCAAAATACCTCTTCAAACGAAACCTTTTTTCTCCTTCATTCTTATCAAATTTAAATCATTGTCATTATAAATCATTGTTATCATAAATCATGGTCTTAATTAAATAATTTTCATTAAAGGTTGATTTTTTATTTTTCTGTGTGAAATCTGTCGTGTTGCAGGCCATAGATGCGCCCTGGTTTGCACGTAATTGTTAAATGTACAGAAACCTGGCATGAGACCCCCTAAGAGCCTTTCGACAAAGGAAAAATGCATAGAACTTTGAAAAAGCCGAAAATCACCCCTATGCTGAACTACAAAGAGCCGTAGACTATACAACAGAGGGTGATGGGCTCAGACACCAGATGGCCCAACAGGACGATAGGTATAGCAGTAACCGCAAAGTGTTGTAAGTGTGAAATCTTAGTAGTACCAATGCTATCAGGCAGTCAGTATCGAGAATGTGAGGTGAGAACATACAGATGCGGGAGCTGATGCATTCTTACAGAAGACTATAAGCTTTAAAGGATACCTCCAGAAGTCAAGATAGTTTGGCTGAATAAGGCGGAATTACTAAAAAATCTAAAGTCTTCAAGCAACTAAAGCAAAGATGCAGATAAACTGTTGTTCTCGTTCAATCAAAATCTACAGTTTCTGGTACTATCAGCATATAGGATTGTTACTTAAAAGGGTGTAAGAAAACTGTATTTCGGATACTCAATTCACCGATTAATCAAACATCGTCATCCCGAAGAACATAGAAGAGCTTACAGATGAAGCAAATAGGTACAGGAATTCTCGAAAGGTTAACAAATAGCTAAGTGCACATGCTGAGGTGCCGTCCCTATCAACATTCGAGACACAGAAATACACGTCCACAGACCCCCACAAAATAGAAATATCTCCAACGATTAAACTGCTCCTACTGTGGTGAGACATAACAATTTCTCCATTGGTAATAAAACAAATAACAGAAAATATATTTTATTAAAGTCATACGGTTAAATTATCTTATCTCATCTTAGAGAGATCTTAAGTCTCTCACGTTCAAGATACTTAAGTAGGCGAATATTCGGAAGGCGGTTTTTTTTTCATATCTAAGTCACATGTCACATCTATCTATGATGGGAATGATTTCTGCCGTCAAGGCGCTGTCACTACCTGAAACAATTTAAAAAATCGTTAAAGAAAATTATATATGAATAAAATAAATAAGAGAGAGGTAATCAATGTTATGTCGCTTGTTCGCACCTTGTCTGGCTATTAATACGAGCCATTGTTTTTCTTAAACTCAAAAAAGCACATTTCTTTAATTTAATACTATACCATTTACTTAAACATCTCTTTCTACAGGGTGAGCTTTTTTCGATGACCTGTACAGGGATCTTCGAAACTATAACAGTTAAGAAAAAGGTTAAATGGACAAAGAATTGCAGTTTTGACTGCTCTACTCGAAACCAATTTTATTTATGTAAAATTTGTCAGCTGTCAAAATATATTTGGGGAAAACTTATTTATGATAAATTTTTAAATTACTCCTAGTTCCGTTGATATTAATTTGACAGGAAAACATTAAATAGAAAACTCGTGGAAAATTAAATTCCAAACAAAATGGCATAAGACATTTCTCCAAAATAACTGTCATTTTTGACATGACACAAATTTGATTTTTTTTAATGGCAACCATACTTGATTATTCGTTTACCGAATAGAATATTTTATTACAATTTCTGTGATACATCACATCGTTAGCATTTCAACTAAAAAAAAGTGTCTGCAAACAATTTAAACTTTTTCAGTTTAGTTGATCGAAGTTAGCCATGGAGAATAGTACAAGTCAGACGGCATTGGTTCCATAGTAACAAATAATAACAACTCAATGATTAAAACCTACATTAGAAGTTAAAAAAAATGCTAGGCGAGCATCTGAATATTATTTTTAGAGGTATTTTGACCGTCGTCAACCGTCTGTGAAAACATTCAAACGATTATACGACAATTTGGGCACTTATGGAAGTTTGACGCAGCCAAGAAATGAAGATAGTAACAACATAATTAATAATTTGAAGTAATAAAAATAAAATTATTGAAAGTAATAAATGAATCGGCACCCTTTTAATTTTAAATGGAAACCTACTAGTTTTATGTCGCTTTTTATCCTGCCACAAGTTTGAAATAAATTTGGTATAGCATGTTCTAAACTTATCTACAACCAATTTTATTTGCGTTTCTTGTTGAAGTGGTGGCAACGTTGGCGACAGAACATTTGCTTACAATTGCAGACTTAAAATTGATCGAACAGTTGTTTAGGCTTCGAAGTAATTTAAAGGAGTGGTTGTGGTTGCTAGTGTCATTAACAAGTGGTATAGTGACACAAAAATAATAAGTTAAAGCGACTGGATTAACAGAAAAACTTCATGTCCATGTGAGAACAGCCACAAATTGTATGGTGTTCTATGCACGTCAGCCCAGTTCACAAAGTTCTTAACCCATAACAGTGTTGCTACGTTTTAACAGCTTTACGAAGAAACCTTATGAACACTATTAAACTCACTAAAAATGGAGTGTGATGTTTGTGGGTTGAACGTTAAACCACTGCTCCAGTGTGATACATGCAGAAGGGGTATATGTAGGAGTTGTGGGAGTTTGTCAGCATCGGAAGTCAAAGTACTAGAGTTGAAGGGTGACAAAGTTTTAAGGTTTGATTGTTCTGAATGCCAGAAATTTAAACCTCATACGTTTCTTCTGGGTATTACAGAGGACAAAAATAAAATAAACAAAGCAAAGATAAAGTAATTTCGCTGCTACGTCAGAAACTAGAAAGTCTGGAATTAAAACAAAATTAAAGTACTGTCCAAGATTCCTTATATAGCAATATCGTAAAAAAACCTGCATTTCAGAGAAATATTCCTGGTCTTATTATAAGACTAAAAAAGCACCAGAACATAGAAAAAATAAAAGAAGATTTACGCAAACAAATTGTTCGGGCTTCCCAACGTTGCCACATTGGGGCGCTTGGCGGATTTAAGACATTTTTGATAGACGTGAAGCTTGAGGAGAAGTTTTTATCCAGACCCCTATCAATCGAAGATCAAAGGTGCGAAGAGTCGTTCTTGAAAACGACCACTCAAAGGCCTGATGGACATTTTGTGGTACAATTACTATTCAGACACTCCGAGTCATATTTGGGGCACTCCAAAGAAATTGCGATTAAGAGATTTTTAAATCTTGAGCGAAAGCTTAATCGAAATCCTTCACTTAAGTCTGATTATTCTAAATTCCTGGAAGAATATGAAGCACTAGGCCATATGATAAGGACCAACTTTGAAACTTTAGAAAATAAATCCACATGTTTCCTTCCGCATCATGGTGTTATCAATAACACCAGTGAAACAACTAAACTGAGAGTTGTGTTTGACGGGTCTTCCACTGGTTACTCGTTGAATGATATTTTGATAGTTGGTCCCACTGTTCAGCAAAATCTGTTCTCTATTGTGCTTAGAGCCAGAAAACATGAGATCATGCTGCCAGGAAACATTGCGAAAATGTACCGTCAAGTATATGTACATGAAACGCAGTGGAACCTGCAAGTCATCTTATGGCGACCAAATCCATCCGTTGACATTCAGCCTTATATGCTGAAGACTGTAACATATGGAACAGCTCCTGCTTCTCATTTGGCAACCAGATGCTTGAAGGAATTGTCTATTCGATGTAGTCAGGAAAACTCTATAATAAGTAGAATCATTGCTGAGGACTTCTATGTAGACGATCTTTGTACTGGCGGCAGTACTGTTCAGGAAGTACTTAATATAAAGCAACAAGTATCAAGGATCTTGTTGTCTGCAGGTTTTGAACTACGCAAATTTTACTGCAATGTCGCTGAGGTGATAGAGAACACTCTTGAACAGACGGTTCACATTGGAGAATCCTCAAGCAATAAGAAACTGGGTCTCTATTGGGATACAGCTAATGCCACTTTCAAATATTCAATAAATGTGCAATTATCTCAAAGATTCACAACGAGAACGATTTTGTCGTGTATTGCGCAAATCTTCGACCCACTAGGTCTTCTTGTACCTGTTGTCATGCTAGCAAAGATAATAATTCAGAAACTTGGGCAATGCAAAAAAAGTTGGGATGAATCGATTCCCTTGGATATTCTGACAAGCTATAGAGGTTTTTATAGCCAGCTGGGTGATCTTAATGATTTGGAGGTTTCCAGAAAAATTAGGGTATCAAGGCACGTTTTGGTTGAGCTACATGGGTTTGCTGATGCGAATGAGACAGGATATGGAGCTTGCATTCATTTACGGTCAGTTAATGGCGACGGACATTGTTCTGTTTCTCTGCTATGCTCTAAAACTAGAGTCGCTTCAATGAAAACCACAACTATTCCTAGATTGGAATTGTGCGCAGCATTTCTTCTTGCGGAACTTTATCGGAGGGTCATTGGGTCTTTAAACATTTCTTTTGATAAAAGTTTCTTCTGGAGTGATTCAACCATTGTGTTGTGAATAAGATCTCAATAGCACGAATTTAAAATATCTGTTGCGAACAGAATCGCTCAAATTCAGTCGATAACAGATCCAAAGGATTGGAACTATTTAAAGAAAAAATGAGGAATGTAACAATAATATGGGAAAAATGTATAAAGTTACAAATCAAGCTACAAATCAAACCATTAGTCAGGATAATAAAATGATAAAAATTAAAAATAAAAACAAAGGCGTCTCCGATAACAGGGACATGGCGAATTCCTGTAATCATTACTTTATAAATATTGGTGTAGATATGTTAAACAATATTGTTGCGGCTTGATTTTTAGCGCACAGCGGCAACGCAGCTTACAGCGTTTTCGGGACGCCTGGCTCGATACTTCGAGAACGAACGGCAATAGTCGATTGGGCTATGGAAATCCCGAAAAATGGAAATTTAAGTAAACTATGTGTAAAGTTTTGTTTTGGTTATTTCATGTTTCTTTCTTTTCGTTTAAATTAAATAAATTAAATTAGTTTTAGGTATATTTCAATTAAATTAAAACTTAGGACGTATGTCGTAATTCTTGGAAATTATTTTCATTTGGATGATGCATACAAATGTCTGGAACATTTAGGCATCAATGTATTAATTAAGTTAAGTTAAGTATGTGAACTTATTCTGCCTTTAGCTAACAAAAGATACTTCAAGTTGATCGAGATATTAAGAAGTTCGGACGTATCGCACATTCCCGTTTCTATGGATACCTTTGACAGATAAGTCAAAACAACGAGTCGCCGTTAAGTGTCAGTGTGGGCTTAAACTTGTTTTCAACTTTCCTTATACAGTTTTCGTTATAGTAAAATCGTCCATTCAACAAAGTTCACAAATAATTAAAATTTATTTCGCAAGCTGAAGTTCTGCCAGAGTTACTGCCCTTTTATTTAACCAGGTAGGTCTTATATCGGTCTTCAATCGTTCTGATTTTATTCGAAATTTTATTCCCTTATGTAATAACTAAATTATCGATAGGTTGGGCCGTTAGATAATTTATAAATAATATCTGCTGTGAATAATTAACTCTTTATAATGACTTTTAGCAAATTTGCTACATTTAACAATTTCCTTAAAATTAAATAAATGAATTAAATGCAAAAACAATTTCTCTTAGGCAAACATACAGGGTGCTTCAAAATTGGCGTCATTCCTTTTAAAGGCTAATAGGGGCTCACTTATATAGGACGAGAAAAATATTTAAAAAAAATTCCCGTAAATTTCTAGAAGTTATTAACAGTAGAAAATCGAATTTTAACTTTGATTTTAAGCATTATTTTGAAATTGTTCCATGTTTAATTGGTAGCATATTGGAATACTTAAGCATTCAAAAAGAAAAATTACGATCTTTGCTTCAAATTACGAAAATTTCATGAGTCAAATGCATTTTTACTTGTAAACAAATTCGAGGTTATGAGGATATTTCGACGAATATGACAGTTGACATTTCGAAGTACGTTCCACTGTTAACGAATCCTGTTGAATTTACCGTTTATCCTTGTCTATCTTATTGTCACTCTGTATAATTCCATGGTTACCGGAGTTTTTAATAATGACGAAACAACAGATATTTCCGTAATGTTAATTAGGTAGATTACCTTGAAAAACATTGTTGTCGTCCTTTTAATATAATTTTTTGCAAATTTCTCAGTATTTAATAACAATTCATTTTTTAAACTAATTTTTCAGTACTCCTAAAACACCGCCAGACAACACCTTCAGAGGAATGACGCCAATTTTGAATCACCCTGTATAGACTTCAATGTGGTAATAAATATTGAAAATAGTTTCAGTTTTCCTGCATACAGTAATAAAGATTTTGCTCAAATATTTTGCGGACATTTAACAAGTTATCTGAAGATATTTTTGCATAATTTATAAAATAAAGAATGAAAAATTTTGTATAAATAAATTTGATGTCATATATTTCTCATATAAATTATAAATAAAAGTTAACTTTATTTATAATTATTATGGTTATGCCAACCATTATGGAGAAGAAGCTAAAGAACCAGGACCTTCGCAAACACGGAAACTCGAAGATACAGCTTATGAAGAGTTAAGATTTGATGGGTTGAACTGGCCGTTGCCTATTCAAAAGAAAAGGAGATGTGCTAGATTATCTTGTACCACTATTGGTCGTATTGCCTGCGAAAATTGCAATGTGAGGCTTTGCCTAAGATGTTTTAAGAATTATCATACACCACAATAATTTAGATTTTACTTGTACTGCTTTGACAAATACAGTTTTCCTCGACAAATTTTATTATTTTTTTATTGCGGGATAACCCAGGGTTGCCATATGGCAACAAGCGATAAAAGAAAAACGTAATACCAGCAAAACAAAGCAATCAATTCCTTATGTTATTTTGACCAAACTTAATGCGTTTATAACAAAAAAGTTGTTGTATTACAATAAAAAAGTTCGGGGACATACTGGGTTAATAGAACCCGGTTTTCTGTCACGTTTTAATAAGGTTTGTTTTCTCACTTATCTAATTCTTAAACTAGCAGTACTCTAGAAGACTAAATCCGGATGTTGGGGAGTGCCAAGCTCGTCTATCGTAGCCCCCTTCAAATCGTGTTGGCAAATTGCTACAGCAGAGCCAAGAAACAACAAGACAAGACTTGCAGGTCATAGGCAACTTTTGGGCAATATTTGACGACCCCATTGGCCACTAGCAAACAGTAAAAACTAGCAACTCTGAACGGGAACCGGGAATGGAGACCGGACTGACACAATAGTAAATTATTTCAGAGGAGCATTTAATCGATATTACTGTGACTTACCTTTAGCTTTTACACTGTAAATCACAAGCCACTATTTATTTAGTTACCATTCTGAAACTTCTTCAACAGACACAATAAAATACAAACATAAGAGCAATTAAAAGAAGCCTTGTCTACGCTGATTTCTTCAGAACCGCCATTTTGAATGATGCATCATATGATGATGGATGCGACCAGCGTTGCCAGATCCGAAAATCGAATTTCGGAGGTAAGCTAGACACTTTTCGGTTCATACGGTTTTTCGTAAAAAACGGTACTCATTTTTCTTTTATTATTAGGGATCCATAAAATGGCGCGTTTTTCAAAACTTAAATTTTTATAAAGTTACAGCAATAGTAAAATAAACAGAAGAGTCAATAGGTATATTTATAATATTTCTTTAAACAATACAACACATTCCTAACAAAAATGATTTTTTTTAAGAAAAACAAAAACACACAAAAACTAAATAAAATATTGATTATACATATTGCTTATAATATTATTAATACTAATTTCAAGAACTAAAGACTTTTCTTTCTTTTAAATAAAAAAAATATCTCGCTTTTAAACTTTTATTTGTTACTTTTCTGTAGAAATCTGCATGGTATGAGTAGATCGGCAGATTCCGTGACGAATTGGTAGGTCTATTGAAACATCGGTAGTGTGAAGAATCAGAATGGTAGCTAAATAAATAGTGGCATCCACACTGGCATCCTACAATGCGAATTACGGCTGCGGAGCGGCCTTAGAAAATTTATCTTTGAGTTGCAGGCAATTGGTTATACGAAAAAGTGTGTAGGTGGAGGCGTTTGAGATTAATGTTACAGATAATACAAATGAGCATATTTAATGAATAATTATTAGCAACAGTTGTGAACTAATGCATTGACTATCATGAGTAGTTGTCAGCTTAAAATAGCTTATGTTCAGTCATTCCAATTTTCTATTATTTTGGTTTTTTAGATAAAAGCAATATAATATTACAACTATAATTTAAGTCAGATCGTAGTCCAGCTCGGAACTTGTAAAATTGTATGTTCGATATTTAAATGTAATAAATAGTATTTTAATTTCATACTTCATTCTTGTTCATTCAAACACAGTTTTTTTATAGAACAATAGATAATAGTACAAGTGTACACCACATGACAAAACTTGCAAACACAGAACATACCCCCTATTTGTTCTATTATTTTTTGGGGGGATATTTTGTGCTTGCAGTGTCGCCCGAGCGCCCGCTCGTCCGTTATGCTTGTTTAGACTTGCAAACATAGAGAAAGTAAAATAAGAGAGGTGGCGGTATAATGTTAAAACTTGGAACCGCGTTGCGCTACAACCGGCTGACCGTCAGTAACGGGAAGCTTTGACGGTAAAAACAGGTATCTAGATTATCGGCTAGTTAGAAGCGGGAATTTTAAATTTTTAAAGGTACAAAATACCCCGGTTACCCAAATTTCGGTGTCTACACATGTTCTCTCGGTTATTAATGGTAATAGAAAATGTGCTGTTTACTCAACAGGGTGCAAACAAATTCCTATTTCCATTAATAATGAACCGAGACTACAATGTGTAAGGACGTAAGGAGATCCACGACAGGGAATGAAATAATATATACCTAAATCAAAATAAAATAACATTTATTAAGTAAAAAAACACAAATTGTCTTCTAAAGAGTCCCAAAAGGATG